GGAGCAGGACACGGAGCAGGACACGAAACAGGACACGAAGCAGGACACGAAACAGGACACGGAGCAGGACACGAAGCAGGACATGGAGCAGGACACGGAGCAGGACACGGAGCAGGACACGAAGCAGGACACGGAGCAGGACATGGAGCTCGGCACAGAGCAGGACACAGAGCCAGACACAGAGCAGGACATGGAGGAGGACATTAGGCTGGGTGCACAGCAAGACAGAGCAGGGCACAGAGCAGGACACAGATGGGCACAGAACCAGATGCAGAGCCGGGCACAGAGCTGGGCTCAGAGCTGGGCATAGAGACAAGCACAGAGCAGGACACAGAGCAGGACACGGAGCAGGACACGGAGCAGGACACGGAGCAGGACATGGAGCTCGATGCAGAGAAAGACCCAGAGCAGGACACAGAGCAGGGCATGGAGCAGGACACAGAGCAGCACGTGGAGCAGGACACGGAGCAGGACATGGAGCTTGGCACAGAGCAGGACACAGAGCAGGACACGGAGCAGGACACAGAGCTGGGCACGGAGCTGGGCACAGAGCTGGGCACAGGGACAGGCACAGAGCAGGACACGGAGCAGGACACGGAGCAGGACACAGAGCAGGACACGGAGCAGGACACGGAGCAGGACACAGATGGGCACAGAACCAGATACAGAGCCGGGCACAGAGCCGGGCACAGGGACAGGCTGCCGCAGGGCCCCGCAGGTGCCCAGGGCTGCGTTTCACCCGGGGGCTCCTTGCCCAGCCCCCAAACAGGGTGCTGCGGGTGCCGCGTGTCCCTGCTGTGTCACACGTCCCGGACGCCGGGTCCCTCTGCAGAGCCGCACGTCCCAGCCCCAGCACGGGGGACTTGTCCCAGGCCGCGTGCTCCTGTCTGCTCTCCCGGCACCCCAGCCCCGAGGGACCCCGTGTCCCAAGGGACGCCCATGGCCCCAAGGGACCTCATGTCCCCACGGGAACTCCCCGGCCTCAGGGGTCTCTCATTTCCTCAGGGGGTCCCCATGGCCCCAGGGGACCCCATGACCCCCCCATGTGTCCAGCTGATCATCATCATCCCAACGGATCCCATGGTTCCCTTGGCACCCTCATTGCCCCAGGGGACCCCCATGGCCCCAGGGGATCTCCACGGCCCCATCAGATTCCCATTGCCCCATCAGGATTCTCATGGACCCAGTGGGGACACACGGCACACAAGGGAGCTCCATGGTCCCAGGGGGAACCCCATGGTCCCAGCAGGATCTCCGGTATCCGCACGTCCCCAGCAGAACCTTATGGCACCCATGAGGCCCCTATGACCCTAGCAGACCCCAGAGACCCCACGGTCTCACCACATTCCCATGGGACAGCCCCGGTCCCAGCACGTCCCCGTCCCCTGCTCCCTGCCTGCAGCACCCATGCCCGGGAGCACCCACAACAGAGGCAGGATGAGCATAGATAAATATCCCCACGCGTGGCTGCCCCGTGGTCAGGACGGAGCCCAGGGCTCTCCGACCCATCTGCTTCCGACGTCCTCCAGGTGTTCTGGCGTTCCCCATGGATGTGCTCTTGGGCTGAGCTGCATCAGAGCCCCCTTCCCGCTGCTCGTCCCCATCCAGTTCTACCACCGCTCTGCTCGCCTTTGCTTTTCCATGCTGTGTTCACCTTCCTCTTCCCCACAGCCCTGGCCACCAGCGGCACCTATGGGTGCCACAGGCACACGGGGCTCCCCAGCGGGGCCGTTTCCACTGCTAGAGCTAAAGAAAAATCAAGGAAATAGTAAAAGCCATGCTCCCTTGGCTGGGAGCCCCGGAACGTCCCGCATTCCCCACGTGGCTCTGAGCAGCCATCAACCCCAGCCCGGGTGAGCAGGACACGGCACCTGGAGAGCGTCCCACTTCCCAGGGCTTCCACCCCGGCGGAGGCACCTTTCGCCTTCCAGCGGGTGATTTCGGGGTGATTTCACCCGCGGGTGGCGGCCGCCCTTGCCAGCCCCTTGCAACTGTCCGAAGCGGCTCCTGGGACCCGCATCCGCGAGGATGAGGTGTCCGGCAGCAGCAGATCCGCCCGGGCTGGAGCCTGCAGCTCTGCAGGGCTGTGTCCCGCGGCACCGCGCGCTCCTGCGGGACCGCGGGCACCGCGCGTTCCGAGGTGCCTTCCCCGGCACCAAGCCTGGCTAATCCTCCCGCTGCGCCCAGCGCCTCGTGGGCAAAGTCTGCCGGCTCCATCCCCGCGGCCGGCAATCCCGGGAGGTGCCGGGGGGGACGTTGTCCTGCCCGGAATGTGCCCTTTGCCCGGAGCGGCCCCTGCCAGAGTCCCACCGGGCTCCCCGGGCACCGTGCGCGCCAGGGGGGAAAGTCCAACGGGAAGGGATTCCTGGAAGGGCTGGGATGGGGCAAAGGGCCGTTGGCTTCGCCGGGCAGGGCGGCAGGTCGCGGAGGTCCCCGTGCCCGGGGGAGGGACACCAAAGGCGGCACAAGGGCTGTGTGACACGCCGCATGCCGGCGGGCTCACCGCCACCGTGCGGGTGACGGGCTCGTGTCACCCTGCCGGGACGTCCTGGCGTGGGAGGCGGCGAGAGGGAGCGGAGCGAGCTGCTTGCAGCCGTTGGAATCGCCGCTGGGATCCTGTGGATGGGAACTTGCAGCTCTGCATCCCTGCAGGGATGGGAGCATCCAGCACTGTATTCCTGCACAGAGTCAGGAGCATCCAGCTCTGCATCCCTGCACATAACTGGGAACATCCAGCTCTGCGCCCCTGCAGGGATGGGAACATGCAGCTCTGCATCCCCAAACACAGCTGGGAACATGCAGCTCTGCATTCGTGCATGGACGGGAGAAAAGGAAGCTCTGCAGCCCTGCATGGATGGGAACATGCAGCTCTGCATCCCTGCACATAACTGGGAACATCCAGCTCTGCATCCCTGCAGGGATGGGCGCATCCAGCTCTGCATCCCTGCAGGGATGGGCGCATCCAGCTCCGTATTCCTGCACACAGTCAGGAGCAATACAGCCTTGCAGCCCCACACAGATGGGAACATCTGCCTCTGGATCACTGCACAGATGGGAACATCTGGTTCTGCATCCATGCACACAGCTGGGAACATCCAGCTCTGCCTCCCGGCACAGATGGAAACACCCAGCTCTGCATCCCTGCACATGGCTTGGAACATCCCTGCACACAGCTGGGAACATGCAGCTCTGCATCCCTGCACACAGCTGGGAACATGCAGCTCTGCAGCCCTGCACACAACTGGGAACATGCAGCTCTGCAGCCCTGCAGGGATGGGAACATGCAGCTCTGCATCCCTGCACACAGCTGGGAACATGCAGCTCTGCATCCCTGCATGGATGGGACCATGCAGCTCTGCATCCCTGCACACAGCTGGGAACATGCAGCCCTGCAGCCCTGCATGGATGGGAACATGCAGCCCTGCAGCCCTGCAGGGATGGGAACATGCAGCCCTGCAGCCCTGCAGGGATGGGAACATGCAGCTCCCGGCCGGGCACACGGAGGCTCCGGAGGCCCCGGCAGGAGGTGGCCCCGGGGCTCTCATCCTGAGCGGGGCTGGGTCCAGCCCAGGGCCACCCGGTCCCGGTCCCGGTCCCGGTCCGGCCGGCTGCCCCGTTTGTTGTCCCGGTGCCAGGGCCGCCCGGTCCCGGTCCTGCCGGCTGCCCCGTTTGTTGTCCCGGTGCCATAGGAACTGCCGGAGGGAAGGCGGAGGCAGCGGCCGGATCCTCCCCGGCCGGACAGAGCTGGTAAGAGCCGTCCCCGCACGGGCACCCGCTGCCCAGGTGCGGGCTGCACCCCAGGGTGCGGGGGCTGCACCCCAGGTTCCCAGGGATGGAACCCCTTGGGGTCCGGAGGCTGCAACCCTGCAGTCCATCCGGGGGGGCTGGTGCCGGGAAGGCGGCGGCTGCAAACCCGGGTGCTGCGGGTCCGTCCCCGGGGGCTGCGGGCTGAGTCCCTGCACGGATAGAGGCTTCGCCCATGGGATCCCCATCACCTTGTCCCCAGGGTGCTGGGGGCTGCGTCCCAGGGGGTGCTGGGTGCTGCWKGYTTGGGGGTGCTGAGGGCTGCGCCCTTGCAATGACAGAGGTGTCACCCATGGGGTGCAGGGGCTTGGTCCCCAGGGTGCTGGGGGCTGCGTCCCTGCRGTGACAGAGGTGTCACCCATGGGGTGCAGGGGCTTGGTCCCCAGGGTGCTGGGGGCTGCGCCCTTGCAATGACAGAGGTGTCACCCATGGGGTGCAGGGGCTTGGTCCCCAGGGTGCTGGGGGCTGCGTCCCTGCGGTGACAGAGGTGTCACCCATGGGGTGCAGGGGCTTGGTCCCCAGGGTGCTGGGGGCTGCGCCCTTGCAATGACAGAGGTGTCACCCATGGGGTGCAGGGGCTTGGTCCCCAGGGTGCTGGGGGCTGCGTCCCTGCAGTGACAGAGGTGTCACCCATTGTGACAGCGGCCGCCGGAGCCGCCCGTGTCCCGCCGCTCCCGCCGCTCCCGCCGCTCCCGCCGGCTCCGCTCCGCGCTCTCCGCAGGCACCATGTCGGCCGACATCTGGGTGGGCACCTGGCGGCCCCACCGGCCCCGCGGGCCCATCGCGGCGCTCTACAGCAGCCCCGGGCCCAAGTACCGGCTCCCCAGCAACGTCGGTGAGCGCGGCGCGCGGGACCGAGCCGGGAGCTGCTGCTGGGACCGCGGGATGGAGCCCTGGGGGTGGCGGGATGGGGATGTCGAGGTGCAGGCTGGAGTCCCCAGGGAAAACAAATGGGGCCAATGAGCAGGGGGATGGAGCTGTGGGGCAGTGGGATGGAGCCATGGAGCAGCGGGATGGAGATATTGGGCAGCAGGATGGAGCTGTGGGACAGCAGGATAGAGGGGGAGGGAGCCATGGAGCAGTGGGATGGAGGCATCAGGACAGTGGGATGGCCTGACTGGGGCAGTGGGATGCAGCTGCAGGGCAGCACCATGGGGAAAAGGATGGCACTGTGGGGCAGAGGATGGCACCATGGGGCAGAGGAGGGCACCGTGGGGCAGAGGAGGGTGCTGTGGGGCAGAGGAGGGTGCTGTGGGGCAGAGGAGGGCACCGTGGGGCAGAGGAGGGCGCCGTGGGGCAGAGGAGGGTGCTGTGGGGCAGAGGATGGCACTGTGAGGCAGAGGAGGGCACCATGGGGCAGAGGAGG